TTTTTTTTTTTTTTTTTTTTTTTTTGAGAAACTGCCGTAGCAGCTGCTAGGGGTGCTGATACAAGCAAACACCACTAGCAACGCCAGGGAGGCTCCATCTATTGGTGGGGAGCAGCACCTGCTGGGAAACGGGTCCAGCGTCCCTGTCATATACAGTGAAAGAATTGCAAGCATGAACAACCAATACACATGATGTCTTTTTGTTAGTCTGCACTCACAATCTATCCACTTGCTACCATACGCTATCGTGTTTGTTACTCTTCTAACTCATATCTATCATACTTGCATGTTTCTATTAGTAGGTGTGGGCATAGGTTGTGAGGTTTTCCTATGCCTGTTGAAGTAGTTACTGTGAGACCACAAATGCATTAGGTGGAACGGGTCGGTTTGTATCTGACTCAATCTGAGATCATGTGAGATAATGTGTGTTAGATATATGGGTAATTGTGTGATAGTTATGTCTAGTCAGATATGGCATATAACACAGCACATAGAAATTCTAATGATTTTGTAACTGTACACAGTCGTGGTGGAAGGTAGTACTGTAATATGATTGTTATCCCGTCTCGCTCCTCCTCTAGATGCAATACACTGCCTCTTACGGTAACATCGAAGTTCTTTGTCAAATTAAAAATGAAAAATGAGGTTAAAAAATATTTATATTTTCAAGTTTTTAATTTTGTTTTGGCCTGGTCGGGCAAGTGGATGAGTGGATGAGAATATCACGTAGGTAAGAGCAAAGATCAAGGTTGATCAGCACTCACACAGTCACCTGGAGGTGACAAGTAGACATGAGAACACAAGACACAACAGGTTTCCACTGAAAACAAGCCAACAAACCCAAGAACCGCCATCAAACCACAACTTCCGGCCGCGTCGGTGGTCTATCGTATAGGCCGGCCGAACGTGGAAGCTGAGAGGAGTACTACATCCTATGTCTACCTATTAATAGTCAAAAGGTTAAGACCCCGTCGCCTCAACAGAGGTTGGGGGGGCCCAGTTCCAACTGACACCCCTTTTCCTGTGGTACTGGGGGTACCGGTCGAAATTACGAAAAAACACATCCTATGTTGAATCACTTACTAGTACAGGGGTCAAAACTAGCCTACCGAGGCACAACAACAAAAAATAGGCCTTAAAAACCAAACTAAAACATCAATACCCTGTTAAATGCCAAATCAAGGCTAAGAACCAAACCAAGTCCTTGCTCAGCTCTACTGCAAAAACCAAACAAACTGTAGCTACAAATGACTGGAAAGTTGTTGGTACAATCAGTAGCGCTTGATCCTGCTTGATTTCCAACAGTGAATCCCACTGAAATCGTACTTGTTACTTAGTGGTTATCACACACGAAAGCAACTGTTTGTTGCCACACGTTATCACGTCTGCAGTCGAATCTCCGAAACAAACGATTGACGAACTTCTTAGGGAAACCTTTCTTAACCAACTCCTGCTGTAAACCAAGTACCTTCCCCGGAATTTCAGATCTGATCGATGTATTTCGATCTATTCTGTGCAAATGGCTTCCGATCATGGCACTCTTTTGTTTCATACTGCCCCATGATCTGAAGGACTGTCTATTCTTAATGGTCAGATCTCCTTCCGTCCAAATGCTATCCTCGTTCTTGGACTGCTGAACGCTACCCAGAAACGGATAGTGTTATGAGGTGCGAATTCGGCAGCCAAGGAAGTCCAGATTCCCGCTATTGTCATCTGTACGCTTCATAGTCAATTCCTTGGGGTAACATTTGACGAAAGAATCGAAAATGTGTGTCCTGATTTTTTCAAACCTGCATGAGATGACTAGCTCAGAAACCGCTCTTTGCTTGGGCAAAGTGTAAAATAAGTGATTCAAGCCTTTAGCTACCAACCGGGCAGTTCTCACGGTTGGTTCACTGAACGAAAGACAAATTGGGCGATATCGACTGAGATCCTTCTGTTTTGGAATTACATAAGCAGAGCCGAATATGCCCTCCCGGTTCCAACTTACAAACTTACCGAGGTTCGAACCAGAGACCTCCTCGCGTATCTCCCTGATCACCTGAGTAGCAGGGCATTTAATCACTCGGTACCCAGGATTTCAAACGAAAGTATCCATCATGGCTTTGAAATACACAGCGGGGCACATTGTCACGGACTCACCTGAGTTCTGGTCAACTGCAGTGACAACCAGGTTCTTTAAACGGGATTTCAGTGCAAGCACCTCATCTGTCGAAACACCCAGGCCAGCGTCGCTGCCTGTCGAGAGGCAAAGTGAGAGATCCAAGCTTGAGCAGTCTGGTACCTTTCCATTCAAATTCTTCCAATTACGGAAACCATCAGTCATCTCCTGCCTAAGCAAATGAAGTCTATCATTGACTCTGACTTTGGGAATGTTGTTCGCATTCAGTAAAAGCGGGTTCACGTCTGCTAGCTCGCTTAAACAAAAAGGTCACATGCTCATTAACACGTGGGAGGTCCATACCTGCGCAACAGCAGGTAAGCACGGATCATGTAGAGTAACTACGATGGTTGTGCAAGATTTCAGCTATCGTTGGATTCTTGGTTCCAACGATGCGAAGCTTCCTACGTGCTCTGAGCATGAAGCTATGTGGTAAATCGCACAAAGACAAAGCGTCGTTCACTACTTTCCTGAATTCCGACATAACAATCCTGTCATCAAACTTAATTCGAAACGTGAGGTCAGAAACCAGACAAAGGCCAAAACGCTCTCGGAAACAACGAGAAACCAACCTACGAAGGTATTTCCTTGTCGAGTTTCTTGAAAAATCCTTGATCACACGATATATACATACCATCGACTTCATATCCCAACTGTACAACTCATTTAATTTGTTCGGGTTGCGCAGAATACCCACCAAGACCTTCTTAAGATATTTACAACGAGACTTCCATTTTACAACATGTAGAATCTAAAATACTCCCCCCTTTTCAAACGAAATCTTACATTCCTTTAGGGTGGTCGTACGATTAAGATGCACAATTTTGCAGTCCCCAAACGCTTTAGTCAACTTCCTCCAACTAGGGGTCCAGTCCTTACCACCAGTAGATTGAATTACACAACTATCATTACCAGAGCTCAAGACTTCATCCAAGAAGGAGTAAAGATCCAGAAAACTTGAATTATCGGACACTTGGTGAAAGCGGATTGGAGAAACGGGATTTCGCAGGGAGATATCTGTTTTTACAGCTTTACTTCGGTTCCTCTCGCTTTTTCCCGACTTCCTCCTAACCGATTTCTTATGTTCCTTTCTTACTCATGCGGTGTTGAGAAACGGTGACCACCGATTAATGTACTAATTCTCAAGCTTAACGATATCAGCACCCTCAATATAATCGACTGGGATAAGGACATAGTTTCCTGTACCAAACAAGGTAATCCAGCAGTGAAAGTGTGATTGTGTACGTCTTCGAACTGCATACAAGTGCTCACGCCATCGTGTGGTGCAATCTCGAGAGGTATTGCCAATATAACTCGACTTACAGTACGGGGAAACTGCAACGTACACCACATTACATAAGTCTAGAAAACCTATCCCATGCGCATCATAAAGCAACAACCATTGATCAACGTATTTCTGTAACCATTTGACTCGTAAAGTCAAGGCTAGTAAAAGGATAGTCGTGTGGAGTAATTGCTCAAGTTTCCGGTCAACCAACTTAGCGCAACACCGAACCTTCGTGATATATCTGCACAACTCCCACAATCTATCCGGATCAAAGCCACATCACTCAAATTATTAGCTGGCACGTCTACTGACTCGGTATCATCGGACACGGTTATAGGAACAACCCCAATCTCTGGCCCGTTCTCTGGGAACAGACACCTGGATCGATACTCGGCAATATCGAGAATCGTGTCGATCTTACCTTCATAGTGTAATCCTTCCTCCCGGCAGATTCGCTGAAGCTCATCAGCGTTGCAGTCCTTCAGCTTACGCATGATGGCATCCCGGAAACGTAGTCGCAGCAAGGCTTTGCTGGCCGGAGTGATCCTTCCGCTTGGTGGTGGAGACTTCTTTGCCGACTTCAGAACTTTAGCGAGTGGCGTTTTGACCAGAAACTTTCTCTTAGTACGAATAGTGATGCCTCCTCCTTTCTTCTTTGCTTTGGACCTTGTCATCCGATCAGAAATGAGCACTAGCCTAGCAATGGTCTTTCTCGGAGTCCGCTTCGCTGGCAATTCCATTGGAGGGCTCCCTTCGATCACCACGTCATCGACCCGCTTGCGCTTTTTCGAAATACACACTTGTCGGGCCTTGTCGCTAATCTCTTGAGTGACACTTGTCTCACTCCCGTCGTCGCTATCGTCCGATGAAGACCCCGCCACTTGAGCTGGCTTTAGCTTCTTCTCGCCCTTGACATCCACCTTCCCGGCTAGAAGTGCTGGCATTAGTGAAGACTTCATTTTGTTGATCCAATCATCTTTGATTTCGCTAATCAACAGAGTGGTGTGGAGCGCCACTTCTCTCTTCATCTCCGCGCGTAGCATTGCTTCTTGCTTCGCTTTTTCTGCCTTCTTGCGCTTCTTCTCCTCGCGCCATTCCTCTTCCTCCTTCCTGCGGGTTTCCTCTTCTTCGGCCAATCTCCTTTCTTCTTCTTTCCTCATTTCTTTCTCCAACTTCCTTCTTTCTTTCGCCTCCTTCTTGGCTTTCTCTGCATCGAGATGTTCCTTCATCTCCGCGACACCTTGTGTAAGCACGTTCAGTTTGTCACGTAAGCCTGCGTAGTTCCGTGGAGGTGACGCATACCTTCTCTGTAGCGGACCTCGGGTTGGCCTGTGAGACCAGCCCCTTGGCCTGTTGTCACAGGCCTGTGTTACATTCGGGGTAGGCCAGTCCAGGCCGGTACCTCTGTCGGTACCAGCCAGTCCAGTCCAGTCCCGTCAGTCCGCTGGGGTATACCCCAGCCATTGTCTATTTTCAGTCTCATTCCTCACTGGCACATTTTGGAGTACGTGCGTTGGAGTCTTGCGTGGGGAGCTGCGTTGTGCCATCTTGCTCCCCCTTCTTCCTCCATTTCCATCTCTGTCACTAGCGGAGCACCACACCTGGTGGGTCCGCTACATTGATATCGGAGCGGGAACGGTCCCCGCCCCCACCCACCACACCGCACAGCAGCGAAATACTAAACCCGCTGTTTTTGGGGCGTTTTCGGGCAAAAAAGCGAGAAAAACGACAGGAAAAGGTGCTGCAGCAGGAGAGCTCCACGTGGCGAAAAAGGAAGCCGCATCACGACACGTGCGCGCAAGCGCCTAGGCCAAGGCCGCCGCACGCACGCGCGCCACGCGCCCACGCTGCTTCGGGGAGACCACGATCTCCTGGAATCTGTCGACGTTGACAGCCGACTCGGATACTGACGTCGATCTCGGTGAGGGCATTGATTGGCATAATGTCCCGCCTCGTGACAATTGAAGCAGGTAGGAACTCTATATCGTCGGTCTCCATCCCCCGGTCCTCTATTGTCTTCCCAACGGTAGGGGTTAGACATGCCGCTGGATCAGCGCAAACGAGGGCACTTCACGTCACAGCTTCTCTTCTTCTCCGCTTCCGCTTGGTAGCTAAGAACAATCTGCGATCATCTTCTCGGTGTTGACCAAAGAACAGATCAGATCAGCATGGTAACCGGTGACACGCTCACTCCAACCCGGTAGTCGTCTCCAGGCAAGTTCACGCGCGCTGTAAAGAGTGGATGAGAATATCACGTAGGTAAGACCAAAGATCAAGGTTGATCAACACTCACACAGTCACCTGGAGGTGACAAGTAGACATGAGAACACAACACACAGCAGGTTTCCACTGAAAACAAGCCAACAAACACAAGAACCGCCATCGAACCACAACTTCCGGCCGCGTCGGTGGTCTATCGTATAGGCCGGCCGAACATCCTATGTCTACCTATTAATAGTCAAAAGGTTGCGGCCCCGTCGCCTCAACAGAGGTCGGGGGGCCCCAGTTCCAACTAACACCCCTTTTCCTGTGGTACGGAGGTACCCCTTTATGCAAGTGGCCTCGGGCCACTCCGGTAGCCTAGAAAATTTATGGAAAAAAAAGATGTTATGTAGAAAAATAAACTGAACAACTTTTGCTTGGTGGTCATATCCAAAACCTTTTCTATATTTGAAATAAAAAAACACAAGTTTCGTAGTTTTTCGTGAAAAACAAAAAAAAAACAACTTTTGCGTTGAAAAAAATAATTTGTAAATTTTAAAAATTCAAAAATGAAGTAAAAAAAAAAACAAACAATTTGCACAATGTAGATCTTGAAAAGATCTACAACCTAGCTTTCCAGGTGCGCCCCGCGGGGCGCCCCGGGTGCCTTGCCCGAGGGGGGACCACCCCCGGGCTACCCCTGGCATGCAAAAAAACCACTAATTTTTTTTATTTTTTTTTTTGACTTCGGTGCCTGTCTACGCTTCTCGAGTACTGCCGATATCCGGCCTCGTTTCTAATTTCTATGCATGCATTTCATGTGTGTTTTGGGGGCATGGGCGGGGAGAGGACGGTGAGGGTAGGGGGTGCAGGAGCGAGGTAAATTATGGGTTCTCCGTTCTCCGTTTAGTAGGACCGGGGATTCAGCAGCTGCTGTGTCCCACCTGTGCTTGAGCAGCTACTGCTGATAGGGTGCACCAGCTGCTGTAAGACAGGCTGACACAGCAGCTTCTGCGTCTCTCGTACACCTGCAAAAGTAGAGCAGGTTGAAGCACTCACAAGTAGCAAATAAAATCCCTTGATTTCCAACATCGTTCTCAAAATAAAGTCTCATATCGAGTCTGCTGCTGGAGACCAGCGGGACAGAGTTGCTCAAAGTTTGCTGCTTGAAATCACGGGGAGCAGCAGACTGAGTCTGAGTGCGGACTGAAATCCAAGTTCGAGTCCACACTCACACTCAGTCTGCTGGTCCCCGTGATTTCAAGCAGCGAACTCTGAGCAATTCTATCCTGTTGATCTCCAGCAGCAGACTCGGTAAGAGTGTGGACTCAACACTCAGACTCAGTTTGAGTCCGCATTTACGCTAAGTCCATTGCTCCCCGTGATTCCAAGCAGCCATGTAAGCAAATTCTAAGTCATGTTGTTAAGAATTGCAACCCGAAAACAACATAAGTGGCAAAGTGCAACCGACAGTTTTACGGAGTCTGTTGCACAGACTCTTAGGTCTTGGGCCTCCATTGACACAACATGTTAACAGCCTAACACATAACAGAAGAATAAGAAGAAGAAGAAGAAGAAGAAGAAGAAGAAGAAGAAGAAGAAGAAGAAGAAGAAGAAGAAGAAGAAGAAGAAGAAAAAGAAGAAGTATAAGAAGGAAGAGGCACAACATTGATTGCCTTGGAAAACCCAAGGGATTAACTGTGCGAAAAATCACCACTTCCGACACTTCCACTATGACCATTGAACATCATCAGCCCTCAGACCGGTGCGAGCGTAGGGCCTTCCAACTTCCTGTCCCGCTGAGCCTTATTCCCAGCCGGTTTCTTGACCATCTTCATCACTCTCGTTACTGCTTTCTTCCACATCCATCGCCGGAGCATCGGGTCATCTTCCACGACCCTCGCCTTCCTCGCCGCCTTCCTTTTCGGTCGGTTCGACAGGTGTGTCTCCACAGTCCACTGTGAGTGCAGGGCCTCCTTGCACCTTCCTCACCCGAGCGACATGTTCTTCCACCTCACCCCCTTCACCACCATCCTCGCCGGTTGGAGCGCATGTTGATGCAGCTGGCTGCAGTGGGTACTTCCGCGGGCGTCCCCTTTTCCTTGCCACTTTTAGACCGGTCTCAGGCTGCACCTTCTTCTTCCTTCCTACCAGGCTCACGTCCACACCCGGGACGGCTGCTGCACCGGGCACTGGTGGGCGCCTAATGTACACTCGACGAACTCCTGTTGCACTCCCGTTTTCTTTTTCCTTTTGCTGCAGCGGATTGTGCTCTCGTTGCTTCTGCGGACCATTGTTCTCTTGCTGCTGATGCTGCGCTGGTCCATTCTTTTCTTGCTGTTGCTGCTGCTGCACTCCATCCTCGTATTGTTGCTGTTGCGGATGCAGTCCCTCTTGTTGTTGTTGTTGCTGCTCTAGTCCTTGTTGTTGTTGCTGCTGCTCCTGCTGCCACTGCAGTCCGTCATTCTGTGGCTGATGCTGTTGTTTCCGCAGCAGATCCATTCCCCCTTGAATCTGCTGTTGCAGGCCTTCCTCTTGTCTTTGCTCCTACAGTCCTTCCTCTCGCTGCTGCTGCTGCTGAACTTTTTCTTCCTGTTGTTGTCGTTGCATGCCTTCCATGTGCTGTTGTTGTTGAACCCCCTCCGACCTCCACTGTTAGACACCCGCCCGTTCACGCCGTTGTATAGTTTATCCTCCTCGGAGGGGGGACAACACTTCGTTTTGCTATTTTTTCTCGAATTCGTTGTTCCACGAGGGCGCGATCACGATAAGCAAGGGATTGCGCCCTCGCCCTCTTAGCATTGTCATCGAAGTCCTTGTCCACTTTGACGCATGCGTTGAAGTCCATCCCGCGAGGCCGCACAAACTCCAAACCACTATCAAGGTCATCCCGCTCCACGTTATGCATGAGGTAGTCATCCCGGGCCAGATCGTTGTCGTTGTTGGACATGTCGCTCGCTCTTGGGAACCGCAACGTAAAGTTCTCGTCATCTTTCTCGCTCTCCTCAATATCCTTTTCCTCGTCCTCCACACCCATCTGCACCTTGCCTTTGCCATGATCAACAACTTCGACAACCTTTTCTTTCTTGCCTTTGCCTCTCCAAATGGGGTCCTCCCCATCATCATTTACATGCAAGGAGCTTTTTTTTTTTTTTTTTTTTTTTTTTTTTTTTTTTTTTTT